TGCTGGGGTCTGAATTGTACTCTGAGTACGAAGGGGAGTACGAGCTAGTGCCTGAACTATAGGAGCTAGCTCTGGACAATCCTCATGAGATGATCACCAGAACCACATCTAAAACATGTACCCAAATTTTCTTGCCTTCACCAAAATGACGTCTCTCATAGTGCTCACATGACAGCAAAGGTTACGATCCAGAATGACCACCCTGAATAGAATACATCACAGTTGACGAACTTGACGCCATAAGCCTAACACTCATGTTGCCTCTCTGAAAAGATTCACCCATATCTCTCTTCCTGGGGCGTGTAGAAGAATCAACAGAACCACAAGGCCTCCTAAATCAGTCTCGATCTCGGTCTCTATCTCTCTTGTGCTCCATACCCACTCATTTTATCTCCTCAACGGTCTTGGCTATCTCAACCAAGGCATCAAAGTTTCTCTCCCAGTGGGTAGCAACTCGACTCCTGATCTCATACATTCTCAAACTTAAGTATTGATTTGATTTAGTGTTAGCAAGTCCAGTAGCATAGCAGCTCAACCTGATAAACTTTATCTTATAATCCATAATAGACATATCACCATGCTCCAAATTTTGAAACTCTTGGAGTCGCTCCTGCAAGTATATCTCACCAATGTAACGACTCTAAAAACGTGCCTCGAAAAGATCCCAAGTCAACTGATTTCACGGAATACTATCAGAAATCGATTGCCACCATCTAAAACTCTTTCTTTAGCATAGATAGAGCCCCCTTTAACTTTTTCTCAAGCCTCATGTCCATCTTATCCATAATCCTTTATGTATCCTCCAACCAATACTCAGCATCAGTCGAAGATCCACCAGTAATGTCCTCGAACAGAACTACTCTAGCAGTTACCAAAGACTTCGAAATATCGACCGTAGATATATTATCAGGGACTCTAGCAGCTCTCCTGAACATATGAAATACAACTATATTAATGGCATCCTCATTCATATCAGTGTCCTCATCCTCAGTGACGTGAGGGTCTCTCGCAGATGTAACCATATCATCTCTGGAAATATACAGATCTACATGCAGAACAGGAGGATCTCACAGTGACATCGGATCATCTATAGTAACAGAAGGTCGTGTCACACACTCTCGACCACGACCATGGCATGGCCTACGACCTCTAACAGCACTCATAGGATAATTATACAAAGCTCTACAAAAATAATTTAAACCTAAGTTAGACTGGCATCAAGAATCTCAAATATATTTAAACTCATAAAATAAGGTAACACGGTTTTTGAAAACATTGAAAGATCTTGAAAATCCAGAATTTAGGACTCATCCACAGTCTGAGTGTTTAAAACTGAATGCTCTGATACCACCAAGTGTAATCCCCTAGACCTTGCTTGGACGTTATGCCCAAATCTAGGCAGTTACAAATCTTATTCAGAAATTTCTTTTCATATTTAAAATAACATTTAAATCTATATACAATATGATATGAAATTAGTCATAAGAAAAGTTCATACAATAAACGTCCATATATCAATATATACATGTATCAGAAAAACTGTATAAAACATATACATATCAAAATACAAGTAATATAGATATATCGAGGGAAGCAAAAACAAGTGTCACCAAAGTATAACAAAAAGGTATATAGAGATATACAGTGGTAAAAAAATAAGAGCAGTTGGCCCTCCTAATGTCAAGTCTGCTAGTCTACGGTCTACTATTATCTGAAAAGGTTAAAAATTTATATAATGAACTAAAAAGTCCAGTGTGCTCCTTACGGTGTATAAAAACATACAGATAAAATAATTCAGTCAAATCGGTTTATCAAACATGTTTTAAAAATATGAACATTACCCCCATCCGATCACCAAATGTGTAGGTTCCACAAAATCATACACCCACTATACCTCAGTAAAATTAGTTTATAAAACATGTTTTAAAAATATGAACACTACCCCTCATCCGATCACCCGGTAAGGGCCTTATACACATAGCATAAGGACTTACCTTGTGCACAAAGCAGAGGAGCATACGGTAAGGACTTACCCTTAGCACAAAGATAAAGAGCCTGCGGTAAAGACTTACCCTGAGCACAAAGTCGAGGTGCCTGAGGTAAGAACTTGTTGTGAGCACAAAGCCGAGGAGCCTATGTTAAAGACTTACAAGTCATAGACTAGACCTAAGATACTTCCTCCAATAATACTCCCAATGATAGTAATAAACATTTATGTATTCGAGTGAAAACGATAGTTTAATTTAATAAAACAAGAAAATATTCCAGACTCAGAAATCAGATACAGAAATAAAGAATTCAGATATCATATAAAAATGTACAGTAAATTAGATATCATATAAATAATATTCAGAAAATCAGGTATTGCGTCGTAAAAATATTCAATATTATCATAAATCTAAAACAGTTCAGATGAATAGTTTAAAATAGTAATGTAACACCATCAGGAAACACACCTCTACTGGTCTGAGTAGTCTGATAAGAAAGCCTACTACTGAGTTTGCCGATCACAGTCAGCGACAGCGGTAGATCCTACGGATCAAAAAATCCATATCGGAATCCTAATATATGAATAATAATAATAATCATCATCATCATCCATATTTAAACAATTTACATATACCTACGAGTAACTCTCGAGGAATACAGATCGTGCGGATCTGACAGACGGAAGCACCGGATCTAACCGACCCTCGATCGGTGAAACACGAGTACCTTCATAAAAAATATTCTCTAATCAATTTCATAATCAAATCGCAAATAAATAAGTAAAAATGCTAAAAATATTAAGCATTTTTAGATTAACGGGCTCGATTTGGGGTTTCCGTTCATAATGTGGCAAAACGAATCGCAAAATCAGACTCAGGACATCGAAAATCATTACGATTGAGGTTTTTAAAAAAGTCAACGTCGGTCAACAGTCAACGGTTGACCGGTTTAGTTCGGATCAGGTCGGACAAGGGTCGGATCGGGCAGACGGGTCGGCCCAAATTCAAACAACCCAACAGGCGATGGGACTTCCCCATGCATAGGGGCGACGCATGGGGCGCGTACGGGGCCCTCAGAGGTCGTAAAATTTGCGAAAAATTTCCTATATGTTTTTTAAGGGGTTTTGAGATACTTACCAAGCTCGGTTCACAGCGATGAGCGGTGGAGAGCTCAATTTCAAAACGTCAGAAACTTAATCTTCTTCACCACCTCACACGCCGGCGACAACGGAGACAAAGTGGACACCGCTGGACTCGAGACAATGCAAGGAACATGATGGTGCAGAAGGTGTCGAAAATGGAGCAATGCTCGATGATAAAACGACGATTGAAGTTTCTTGCTAAAAAATGAAAGCTTGAAGAGAGAAATGGGGTTTCCAAATGAGAAAGCTTTCTAGATTTGAGGGTTATATATTCCCTAAAAAGAAAATTATAAAATTACACTCTAGTTCTTCCAATTTTTGATACTTTCTGAATTTGAATCCGAATTTAGTCAAAATTTCATTTTGGCCCCTAAATTTAGTTAAAATTTCAATTTAGTCCTCTAGAGAATTTTAAGAAAAATTTTAGGCCCTAAGTTGGGGTGTGACAGTACCTTTTTGTGAAAAAAATTATCTTACCTATAATTTGGTACAATGTAAAATAGATAAACTGGACAAATAAGAAAGATTATACATAGAATTATTTTGCTTTGGAAAAGGATTATATAGTCATTTTTCTATGCACATGCTATCCGGTTTATTTATTTAAAATTTAAAATCTAAATTCCTATCCCTAAAATCTAGACCTTAAAACCCAATCTCCTGAACTTAAACCTCGAATGACATGTCAATAAAATAAACAAATTTGTATAAGTTTTAATTCATACAACCTATATATCAGATAATTATATATATATATGGTTGATAAAATAATGTCATAATTACACAAAACGAAAATCAAAATATAACCAAAAGCATCAAACATGGTTATTAATATCATTGACGCTCTATAGATCAACTGAAATAAGTCAAGAGGGGTAAATTAAACTTAAAATCTTGGTGTAAAAGCAAGGAAATATAACAATTTGCACAACGATTAATAATGGTTTGACTTCTCAACCAATTCTACATCTATTATCCTAGTATTCACACTAAGGATTTCTATCAAATTTACTAATTTGTTCTTACCTTTCAATGATAAGGCGTAACCTTTAAAACTCTCTAATTTTTCCAGATTAAACTAAAACCTCCTCTCTTTTATAAAAGATTATTTTGTGTAAATAAGACCTCTCAAAGTAGGTTTTACAAATTTGAGCTCACAAAGAATCAAATAAAAAGATATACAATAAAGTTCAATACACTATGTATAAGAGAAAATGAAAAAATAAAAAATGAAAACTCTTTTCTATGATCTTTAAGCTTGGATAAGTTTAATAACATTCTTCAAGTGTTCTTGGATTTTTTTTATATTTTAAAATGTGTTTCTAGCCTTTTTAAGCTATTGGGGTTAAATTCAAATAGTTGGGGAAGAGGTAATATTGAGTTCCTAATAGTATCGATACTCTTAGGAATACCAATACCATTTTTGTATATTGAATTTTTCTAAATTATAGAAACAAAAGGTAGTATCGATACTACCTGAATAGTATCGGTACTACATAAATAATATTAATACTATTCATACATTATCATTACTTCAAAGCTGAGAAATTATTTTGACTTGTTTTAAAATGAAAAAATGATTGAAAAAATATTTGAAAAGATTTAACTAAGTAAAAAACACATCTAAACATGTTTTTCAAGTTTATTTAGACCTTAAATTATTTTTAAAATATTTGAACACATTCAATTAAGTCCAAAAATATTATTTTTATTTGTTATATCAAAATATAGATTCAACAATGGCACATGAAATATTAACATAGACATGACGAAAATACAAACACCCTGAAATCTATACAATACCAGTTTTTAAGGTCTCAAAATTTATATAAATGAAAAATATCTTAAACGTGATTGTACAAAAACAATTCACAAATACGACATGCCGGTACAAGTCAACGGGTCTCATACTCGTAAGAACTACAAATTGCCTTCTTTTTCAAGTTCCCATCAGAACTGGAGAGAATCAAATCATAAAGTTAACATAGTTCACAAAAATAACCAATTAGAATAGACAATTACTGGTTAACAAAAAAGAGAAAAATACCACACTCAACGCACACAATTAGCACATTACTTTTCTAAACATCAATAAATGATTGACAGAATACAAGCATTTATTGTTGTTACAATTTACATAGCCTTACCCCCTCTTAGAATATATATATATAGGGTTAGAGTGCACTACCACCTACTGTAAAATTTTTAGTTTTATATCTTTTTAAGATCGTTGGACGAGGGAAAATAAAAATTGAGATTAATTCATTTTTTTCCAGTGAATATTTCTTACTGTTAATCTCAGCATTTGATTTCTCCTCATCCAACGATCCTAAAAAGGTGTAAAACTAAAATATTTTATACTATATAATTGGATCCTAGTTCAAAACTTGATAGATGCATAATAAAGCCTAAAAGTAGCATACCTAAGTTTTAACTGCCAAGCTTAGTTTGGCTGCTGGTATCGAGTTTAATTGCTTGGCGAGAGTGGATTTCAGTGCTTCAGGTCATGCTACCTCGGGTCCGAACTCGGTCGATAAGCATTTGCCGACCAGACAAATCTTCTTCATAACCCACCACCTGCATTTTCCAAAATAATCACATAGGTTGAAAAATAGAAAGTGGGGATGGAACTTTTAAGACGAGAGTAAGATCTGCAACCTGAGATTCTGTTTGTGTTTCACTGAAACTATCATATAGGCCACCCACATGTACATCTCGAGAATGACTGCTGAATTCATCTTTTCTGAGAGTCCTGAAAAAGGGTAAGAAAAACAGCATGAGGCCAATCGTAATGAGAACGATTATTTGGTAATGGTATAAAGAGGCTACCGGTTTAACCAGTGAGTAGATAACCCAATAACAGAATGAGGATCTGTAGTATCTTGACGATGACCCGTACAATCAGATGAAAATATCTGTTCTACATCAAGGATTGATACAAATAAACTTCTATATCGAGATAAAGAGTAGACATTCAGAAATCGGAAATATCAACTGATATAAGGATACACTTCCGTCACACCCATTCCTCTCTGGTGATTTCTGATCATGAATCTTAAGAAGCAGCAGGGATAATTGACTCAACCAACCAGCAATTTTGAAACAATAAAACAATTAGAAAATATGGTCAGGAAGAACAACAATACTCACCTTACTAGTTTGCTCCAGTAAGTCTTCTATAGCAGTAGCTACATCAGGCAAAACTTGAGCAGCTTCACCTGCAATTTTTAATTTTTCATTTTCAGTGGAATTTTCGTTCACAAAGGGCTGGCATATATGCACTCCAGAAGCATTCTGGTCATCATCTTCCAGGTGCCTAGCCCTTTTAAGATGACCATCTGATTGTTTGGCCTCATCTCTAGAGCCATCGTTTCTACCCCCAATAATGCACCCATTTTTAACACGAAGATCTTGTGTCCTCGGGCCCTGTGATTGAATCATTAACTGAGATGGAACATCCACAGACATCAGTTGAGTGGCTTGAGTCGAAAATTGGCTCACGGTGCAGAATCCAGCTTCTTGGTCTTGAGCAGTAACTTCTTTTGGGCAAAATGGATCCAGAGAAACAACTTTATTCTACGAGATATAAATTGCACACATGAAAATTTGTTGATCTTATCATTTCCAAGGAAACAGATAAACAAACATAAACTTGGGGCAGACATGATTGCAAATGCGTAATTAAGCAGATGAGCAGAGGGACAGATCCATACCCGCCTTACACATTCATATATCCACTCTGATGTTACTGATTGTATTCCCCATTTACAAGCAGCCTCATATTTCGGTCCACTGGAAAACTTGCATAGTAAATGAGTCACCTTTTTAGTAAGTTTTTCCACAAACTTAGCTCCAAGAATAAAGCATAGGTTTCTTAATAGCAATCTATCCTTCTCTTCATATTGTGAAACACAAAAGCGAAAGCTTTTAAACCCAGGAAAAGGAATTTGACAGGGAAGTGGCGAATAGAGAATATGACTTCCAACATCCAGCAAGGATCCATCCTATAATACCACTTTTCCATTAGCATTGACAAGCATGATGGCTTAGAGCAAAGAAACCAAATGAAAGAGCAGTAGCGGTGACAGACAAAGTAAAGATATTGTATTATATGTAATGGGAACCAAAGAGGAAGTTTCAAGCATACCTCTAAACAAGACCGGACCCAGTGAGTAGAAACAAAAGTAATCTGGGAATCAGTGATAGAACTGGGTTGACCATGACACTCGATAACAAAATTAACATTCCTTTTTACATGATCCTCAACAACCTCCCCTCCACCTTGATCCACCCATTCAACAATTTCAGCTCTCTAGAAGAAGAAATCAAAAACTTAGGAATATCGAGGAAAATAACAATAGGAAAAGTCACCTTTGGAATTGAGATACAGATAACAATACATAGATCCAAAGAAAGAAAATATATCAGATAAAAACAAATAAAACATGCCAAAACAGTTCAAAAGCAGTTAAATATCTGAGATGTTAGACAATGAAAACATTAGGGGAAAATCTTTAGAATGTAGCCCATAGTCTTAGTTTTCTACAGTATATTTCTTACCCTGTCTTCAGGAAAGGAAACTGAAAAACAAAATGTTTTCCCCTTAAATACAGTTGAAATCCCATTCTTAAGATTTTGGACTACTGGGTCACATTGCTTCTTCCGCCAAACATTATTTGTACTTGTTCTAGGCAGTAAGACTTGCTTGAATGATCCTACAGTAGCTTTCAAACAGTTGTCGCCATTCATGTTGATTTTGAGTTTATCATCTAGACTTTTCCCCGTAGTTGATGGCATTCCATTTCTGCAGTTTGTAAGAACTGGGGATTTATTTTGATTTGAATTGATGATTCCCGTCACTGCTCCTCTGACAGAGTTTACAGAATCTGTGCAAGCACTATGATCAGTTAAACATCATGAAAAATAATTCAGAACAGAAGTTATGTAGTGCTTACTGATGACATCTCTAATTCAACAATCCAGAAAAAAAAATCTATCATCTTATGATAAGAAAATGGAAATAAAACAAAACAAAATATATCTAGCATGAACATGAATCAAGATGAAGATACACAAGAGAAGACCAAGGGATTGACTTCAGAGAAAACTGGCAACCTTTAGGAAGAAGTAAGTCACACGCAACATGCCTCTGATGAACAGAGATTTCTTTCTTTTGACGATCACAGTCTTCAAGCCAGTTGGTCTTTACCGCATGGATGACACCTGAAGCTACAAAACTTCTTACCTCTTTCTTTTCCCTAGGCAATAAGATGAACATGTGAAAGACGAAGATTTATGAAAACAGGGGGAAATAGTCCAAAATAATAAGCATGTCCACTGAATAGCCTTTGTAACAAAGGTATCATAACACTGAACCCAGAAGATGTCAAAGCATGGCTTACTAAGCACAATTTTGAAAGAACCCACGGAAGAAATTCAAATGGAGAAAGAAAAGAAACAAGGAAATAAACAACATTGTTTTTGAAGAAAAAAAAGAACAAGAAATACTTACGATTCAGATGGAGTCCCAACAACTATGTGTGTCAATTTATCATTACATGACATATACCGGGATGCACCACCTCTGCGCACTATGGCAACCAGCTTACGCATTTCAGAAGCTTCAAAGCCAACAAGTGAAATTCTACAGTCTGACAAGTATAGATCATTGTCTTCAGATTGAGAGTCATTGGCAACACAACCATCAAGCTTTGTTTCAGTAGAAGGCTGCAAACTTTGTGCTTCACCATCATCCTCTTTAAAACTGACCCGAGCATCTGATACCGCAGAAGACATGTTCTGAGAGAGAGTAACTTCAAGATCTGGATCTCCCAATCCGGTAGAAGGCACAGTGGACAAATTAAATTCAGGAACCACCAGGAAGTTGCAGGCACTGAACTTCCTCTAAGCTTATCTTGACTATACTGTGCTGACAAGGAACCACTAACACTTTTCTTTGAAGATGCACAACCACCCTGGACAGGATAGGACTCCTCATTAAGGCATGCTATTCACCGGGGACAAAAGGATTATTCATGGTCAGATAAAATGTCTAAAGTCAATGATAATACATGTTAGCAAAAATATCATAAACTCGGGTATTAGACATTGTTAACAACATATAGCATTACCTCTTCTAGCAATGGATTGATCAAACCATTTTCGAACTACAATATGAACATGGCCCCATCTTCGAGCAACTTTATACTTGTCACCTTCAGGAGCGTATGGAAAGTCAAGATCACAAATGAATAAACAGAAGTGATAGAGGATGATTATTCCGAGAAGAGTAGATGATGGAAATAAACTGTTGATTGAGGTGCAATGCTTAAACATCAAAAAGATGCAAGAATACTACAAATGGCTCAAAATATGTATACTGTTTCCTTGAACAGAAATGAATATATGGCTATATGAAATTTAAATAAATAGATGCAACAGGGCATTATTAACTTGAGTTATTTGATCACGGTATGGGAGAGTAGAAACTAAGAATGAATAACTAAGAGCAACAATTAGGCCATCTTAAGGAACAACATAAAGGATATATCACAAATCAAATGTGTGCACTTCTTGGTGAGTTCAGATGAATATTTCCCACCATTTTGTATGATCAGCTTTTCAACCTCTTTTCGCTCATCTGAGAGGAAGAGAATATTAGAATTCAATGATTAAGTAATCTATCACAAGCAGGCCCAATATGTACTTGACATAATAACCTGCAGGAATTCTGGTAACACATATTGTCAATCCAGTAAAAGGAAGAACCCTGTATGAATCCTGAGGAACAACACGGTGCTCACTCCAACACTGATACAACCACTGAACCGCAACAATCGGTTTCTTTAAAATATTGAAAGCCCACTGAACAGATAGAAAAATAATAATAATTATCAGTGGTGGCATACAATAAAGTGATGTGCAACTGTTAACTTCTTTCGAATAATACCTTTTCCAGAAAACTCCAAAGATAGTCATTCTCAAGTTCTTAGTATAATGAAAAGGATTTATTGAAAATCCAACTCAAATCCAAATGTGCACAAAATTTTAAAAAAAAATGCGTTATTAAAATATTCTACAATGCAGACATTCATTCCCGATTAGCACTACCGGGCATGTTTGCAAGCTTCTCCTACCACATGCATGCAGGATATCCAAATATGTGACCAGATACCTCTATCATTGACCTCTCACCTATCTCAAGTTGGAAAGATATTGAATAATAGCAATTTAACTGATTCCACTATGATGCATTCTAAGTTCATAAAATCACTAGCTTTTAAGTATATTGAAGCCCTATCCATGATGAAACAACATGTGCACACTTAAACACGACACATGCAGGCAGGAAAGAAAGGGAGAATTATTTTAGGAGAACCATACCTTATACTTTGCAGCCAGGACATTCTTTACAATGACAAAGCTAACATCTAAAGATGCTTTAGTATGCAAAACTCCCCCCATGGCTGTAACCAATTTTTCAATTTTAACCTATGACCAAAAATCATAATAAGAAACAGTCCACCTTGGGCTTGACATAAGTAATTCCAGTAGATAAGAATAAACGTATTTCCATGAACCTCAATTGCAATACCTTCTCATCATTGTCGAAACCGGATGCCAGTACTTTGAGGCCGTCCATCGCAAGGCAGCAACTAAATCCTTGTTTCGGTAAAGCTCTATTTTCAGTTGCACAAGAAATAACACATTGAGGACCTAATACCCAAAACAAAAAATTCATCACTAAATTACTAGCATAGTAAAGTTAAGAAGACTTCAATCAACAACCGGAAAGCATTACCTAACAAATTACATCCTTTAGCTCTAAGATCCTCAAATTTCTCCTGAAAAGGGAGAAGAACAAGTAAAATCGATTGAAAAAAAAGGAAGACATTCAAGAAAGATTTCAAATACACTGTGAAATGAAAAGAGTGGCGGGAAAAAGGAGGATCACATGGTCGATGGAGGAGATAATGTGGAAATCATCGGGGCCGTTTCGAGAAGGGTCGCAACAGAGGAAGACTTGGGCACCGTTATCCTTGAGAACGCCGTGAAGTTTGTCGAATACTTCGGGGGGGACAAGGTTTCGCGACATGAACACGTTCGATCCCGTAAACGCCTTCACCTTTGCCTTCGTCATCATCATTTCTTCTTTTTCTTTTCTTTGACGATTGCTCATTTTCGATATCGATTTCTTTTTCTTTCAACTGTAATCTGGCCGAGTTGAAGTGAGTTGCGCTATGGCGAGTCGGAGAGTGGTGGTACTGGGTATGTATGCTTCAAACTCTGTATTTTGGGGGTTTTAGGACAATTCAAAGGAAAGGAATTTAACTTTTAAATATAAGGTGAACAATTTGGAGCCGTTCGATCATAAATAGATTTAAAAAAGAAAGATAAACTATATTATTGATCATTTTCGTCTGCTTCATGTCTAATAAAGTTAATTTCTAAATTTTATTTTTATTAGTTAAAAAGTATATATATATATTGGAAAAAAAATGAAAAAAAAAATTGGGGTAAATTAGATATAAAATCATCTTCAATGACATATTTGATGTTTTCGTGATCAATTTGTTACTTTTGAAATTTTAGTAGAAAAATAAAAATTTACTCAAATATTAGTGACTATTTATGTAGTTTATTTTTTAATTTTATAAATTCATTGTGCCACATTAGCAATCTGTTAAAGGTCTAACGGCAATTAATCTTCATTGATCATATCTTAATTAAATAAAACTGAAGTGACCAAATATTATGTTTTTTTAAAAATCAATGATAAAAAATATATAAACTTTAAACAAAAGTGATCGATTATATAATTTACCCTAAAAAGAATTAATCTCGACTATTAAGAGTAAAAAATCAAAAGAAAAATACATGAACCAATTTATCCATAGCTCATGATTAACATTCATTGGCAAATGATTAAGAATATTTAAAACACATATCACTTCGTAATCATCTTAGTTTAATTAAAAAGAATAAAAAAATTGGTAGATTAGTTTAACTGATTACTCTATATTACAAACAGGGATGGTCAAAAAATTGAAATCGACGTTTTTTTTTCTTTTATCTGATCAGGTTTTATAAAGTTATTTTTTAAAATTAGATTTGAAACATGTGGGATATATTTTATCAGGAATGTTTATTGTTTGATTTTAAGAAAATTAGTCATTCAAATTGAAATTTAGTTTGTTTAATCACTCAGATAATTAGATAATAGATTGATTAACTATTATTTTTTAAAATTCGATTATCAATTAATAGGTTCAAAATCGACTAATTAATCAAAATTGAAGTAACAAAAATACTTAATATTTAATGTATCATATATTACCACGGAGGTTTAACCTCCGTTGGTAGAGCACAAGGTTCTTAACTTGAGGTCGTGGGATCGAGTCTACGGAGGGCATTTCATAATTCGGAGGTCTCTTACGGAAGCTGCTCTCAACCTGTGTTGGGGGTAGCCTATTATCTTACCTCACCCTTACCTCATACATATAGAAAAAGGGACAGCCATTTTTTTTATATATTACGTATATATTTTAAATCTAGACTTGTTATGAAGCAAGACCCCAACTTTTTAATCGCACTTTCATAAAGTTTCAAGAGATTCAATCAAAATTTTGCTCAAATAATAAACGCATAAATTAAACCTAAATTAATATAACTAAAAAATTTAGACTAGATTCTGATTAATTCAAAAACCGACCGAATTAGATTAATTTTATTTGATGAGATTAATAATTTATAAAATTAATTTTTGTTAACAATTAAAGAAAAAATTGATTCAACGAGTAACAAATTAACCGATTAAATATTCTTAAAATTTATGGAAGAAGGATTGGAATCAAACCGGAGACGAAGTAAAATTTAAAGTGAACCCACAATGTCCTGTCCCAAAATAGTTACAAATATCTCTCCTTATATATAATATATGTTAGTGTTTTGTTAACCTAAATTTAATTTTAGGATAAACTATACTAGTAATCTCTTATGTTTTTGGTCCGTTTGATTTTGATTGATGGTTCAAAAACAATTTGATTCTGGTCACTTTTGTTTTCAAACAATTTGGTTATGGTCACTTGTTTTTTATTTTGGTTGTTAAATTGTTAACTCTTGTTACTTGCTAACGTGGCATGTTAGTTAAATGGTTAAACTTTAGTTTGACCCCTAAATTTTAGATAATACTAATTTAACATTAAACTTTACATAAAATATTAACTAACCTCTAAACTTTAAATAAAATATCAATTTAACTCTTGAATAAAAAAATCACGTTGTTGGCCACCACTCATCATTATCGTCAGTCATTAATCACTACCGATCGTTGTTGCCGATGACCATTGAACCTCAAAATTTCCAATTCACCTATTTTTAACATTCCGAACGTGAATCTAATGTTCATTTCAATGAATGATAAAAGATTAAAAATAAAAAAATTTAAAAAATAAAATTCAAATTAATATAAAAATTTGAAGTCAAATGAATTTATTAAAAAAAAATCTACCATATCGTTTACAGGCTATGCACATAAGACCATCCTTTTTTGGATCCCTCTGCTTGAGACGCTTCACTACTTAACGTTTTCATCATTTTTCTTCTGGCGTTGCATGTAGGACTTCATCTCAAATCTGACATCTCAAAGATATATTTTTTTCTATTGAATTGAAGTGATTACAATGTAGTATTTGATATAAAAATTCTAAATCATTTAAAGGCTAGCGCTCAAACTTGGGACCTCTAGGAACAACAACCATCCATTTAACCACTGAGGTAGCTTGATTTGTGCATCTTCAAGATATATGAGAAAATAATACAGTAAGGAAAAAGAAAGATAAAATGTTCATAATATTTTTTAACCATTGACAACAGTACACATATCTTACATACACAACTGTTCAAACTTAGGATTTCAATAGAGAACAACACTCACTTTAACCACTAAAATCATTCAATAAATTTCATTCAAGCACAATATCTAACAAATTAGTAAATCACGTGATATCAAAGATGCAAAAACTAAGTATTCTAAAATTGGATTTTTTTTAACCAACCTATAAGTTAAAAAGAAACTTTAGCTATCAAAATAAAGCATGAAATGGCAAATAAAGCACAATGTATTCCACTAGAAAAACCTCAACTTACAAGCCATAATCCAGAATGTCAACAATCAATAGTAGCACTTCAATTGAAATTCTGGCCTAATCTAATACCAACTTTCAAGAAAAATATACAATTAAACTTTCATTTTTGATTAATATGTGATAAGTACAAGGTAAGTATCTATTCAAAGATGACTCGCAACCATTTATGTTAAACGCACATACTCTTGGTATTCATGGTGCTTGAATTCAGAACCTCAAGGAATGACAATAACTTTTTTACCACCGATATCACTTGGTTTGTGTTAGAATTAAAAGAAATTAAAAAAATGATATATAAACAATGAACTCAAAGATGTTATGATCTACTACTCTATATTATTTATGAGATGAGAAGGCTATATTGGTTATTTGCATGAGAATGGTACGATGTTTGAGCGTATCTTATTAGGTAAGGTCAAAGTCTTTGTTTTATCATGTTACTGTGTCAATGATTTGTAACTCTGAATCATTTAAAAAGCTTTTTAATTCAACGGATATTCACAGAATTTCAAGTTATAAATTTGATTCAATGCTCAGCATCTTTAACGTAACATAAATTTATTTAAAAGTCCTTACAAAAACTTGAGAAAAAATGAAAAAACAAATTCAAACAAAATGCCTCAAATGATGAAATGATCTTCCTCACTTGGATGCCCCCAAGTTGTTGAAGTCGATCCAGTTCTGGTTACGCATCTTCTGCACGATTTTCTTGAATGTGTAACAGTTCTCAATAGTGTGCCCTAGGACACCGCCGTGATGTTAACAATGAGCAGTCTCATCATACCACTTGGGGAATGGAGCTTTATGGGTTACACCGGATATGGTGACACTACGTGGATGTCGAGAAGTTGCTGGTAAAGCTCTTTGTAGGTCATGGGAATAGAGTCGAAATGTTCTTTTTCTTCTTGGAATCTTGTTTAAAAGTACCTGACGGTACAACTGTAGTTGATTTTGGGCTGGAGATTATAATACCTTTATTGATGTGGTTGATGTTGTTAATTTCTCCATCCCTCTCCCTCATAGGAGGTTTCTTACTGGCTTCCCATCCTTAATCTTGCTTTATTTTATGGATGACTCAATCATTTCTCTGGTCATAACTAAGTCTGAGAAGCTTCTTGATGTGATTGCAACTAGGTGTTTGAAGTTAGGTGCATTCAGGGTCTATAAACAACTTCCTAGTTTTCTTTTCATCCAAGGGCGGATGAAGTTGTACAGCCAAATCCTTCATTTCTGTGCGTATTGCCTGAAACTTTCGTTATGCTTCCATGCTTTGTAGCATAACTCAATCTGGCATCATGCATTGACGTGCTTGTATTATTCCAGAAATGACTTGGCCAGGTCTTTCCAGGTCTTGATATATGATCGGCTTACCTGGTTGTACCATCAGATGACTGAGCCCGATAGACTTTCCTGGAAGCAGTGGATCAAGAGTTTGTCATTTCCTCCATATCCTATCATCTTTCAGCAGAACATGGTGATGTGAACGAATGGGCAACTGTTCCCGTCAAACTTCTCGAATTCTGGGGACTTGAATTTTGGAGGAAGAACTAAGTCTGGGACTAGACTGAGTTCTGCGGCATCGACTCCATGGTAGTCATGGTCTCCTTTGATTACCTTCATTTGGTCCTCCAATTGCTTGATTTTCTCCTCCATCTTCTCTGTTTTGTTCTCTTCGTCCAAATCTGATATATGGTAATAACTCGGATTGTTCTCAAGGTTAAATACAATAGTCTGTATCTTTACAGGATATAGGGTTTTTACCTTTCAAAAAGTTGACTTTTGGAGTGCACAGTAAACCGGTCCATTCTTGAGTCTTTTCTGACCAAAGTCGGACTTCTGAGCTTTTCATCTCTTGTATTATAACCCCTTTGTCTATTAATGCAAATTATTTACGTTTAACGAATACGTTTTTGGTGGATCAACACCTCTTTTGAATGATGCAAATGATGAAAATAAAATAAAAGAGAAAAAATGAAAAGAGTTAGAGAGGTAAAAATAATCAAAATAGTCATGAAAATAAAAGTCCTACCCCACATGATATCTACCCCCACATGCTTATTATTCCTACCCGAACATGATCTCTATCCCACATGTTAATTTTGAACCAATCATAACC